CAGGTGAAGATCCAGCCCTCTGGTCATGGACACCTCACCAAGGTTTTTTGATGGCCTTCACTCCAGGAGCCCTTTCCTGCTTTTTTTTCCAGCCTCAGTTCAGATTCCTTTCCCAGCTGTGGAACTGGAGACCCCTGGCAGCATGGCCTGGTGGCCCTCATGAACCTTCTCCACCTCCAGTAGCTGCACTGAGTCCTGATTATCACGCAGATGGAAATACTTGCACTGAGCTAACACGTCAGGTGGAAATTGTTCTCAGGCCTTCCTCCGTCTTGGGGAGCTGTGAGCTGAAACAACGCCAGGTCATGTAGTTGTTCCCCCAGGAAGGCACCCACAGAGCTGGCTGCTGGGGTATGGTGTGTCCACGTGTGCAGGGGTCTGCAGGGCTGTCTGCTCAGTGCGGAAAAGCACGGGACCTGGCGGGGGGGCTGCCTCGTGGCTCGGCCAGGCTCTGCCAATACGATTTCTTGCCCCACGTCACTTTGGGCAGCTCTGTAATGGGGCCAGCCAGGTTATGGAGGCAGGGGTTCGTGTGAGGGCGGAGGGGAAGAGCAGAAGGTGGTGCCAGGCTTGCAGCCGGGGAGACCTGTCCTGGGGGGAGTCAGACACGCTTTCCTCCCCTGGTGCAGGGCTGAGTGCATGGGGTCATTCCCTGGGGTCCATTTAGGTTCTTGCTTCGCCACGCTGCTATGTCTTGCCCAAAGCCCAGCAGACACCTGGACCAGGACATTCACCTTCTTGGAACAAGGCTGCCCAGGGAAGGGGTCGAGTCCCCAGCCCTGGGGGGATTTAACAGCCGGGCAGAGGCGGTGCTGAGGGCCAGGGTTTGGGGGTGGGATGGCAGGGGTAGGGGAACACTTGGGCTGGGGGAGCTTAAAGGGCTTTTCCAACCCAAACCACTCTGTGATTCTTCAAGGGGAAGCCAGCAGGGTTGTCAGCCCCACAAGGGGGAGAGGCAGGGGAGGTATCCCCACATCCCCATGTAAGCTATGGGGCATGAGCACCCAGGAGTCCAGGTTTAGCCTTCCCTTCCTGCAGCACAGCTGCTTTTCATAGAATCATAGAATGTTTGGGGTTGGAAGAGACCCCTAGAGGTCATCTAGTCTAACCCCCCTGCAGGGAGCAGATGCTGGCCCCTTCTCCTCCCTTCTCCATGGGAGGAACTCAGGCATCCTCTGGCTGGATTTGGGGTGCGTAGTGATGACACTCAGGCTGCCCTTAGCCTTGCTGGGGTACCAAATACCTTCATCTCACCACGCAGAGCCATTCAAGATACCTCCAGAGTTACCCACCTGGTTTTAAGGGCCCTGTGTGTCCCTTGTCACCCCTGCCCACCCCACGTGCCAGGCTCTGCTGGCCCACGAGTCTCAAATGGCAGAAGATGCCCACACCTGGGTGACAGGTTGGAGCTCAGATCCTCACACCCAGGCATCCTGGACCAAACACTGGAGTGGAGGTGATGGAGAGCAGGTCCTTGACCACACATCGGAAGCACCATCCTGTGGGTGCAGCTAGGACACGCAAGGGGAAAGCAGAAAGCAAAGGTTTGGTGCCTTCAAGGAACCTCCCAAGGAGACATTTCAGGGCACATGCCAGACTCTGAGGGCAGAGATAGGACAAACCTTCTGCACCTGAGCCCACCTCTCTTGTTCGAAAAATCACATGCAATCCCAATCCTTACGTCCCTGCCCAAGCAAGACCCGTGTTAGGGTCATCAGAAGACGCCTAGGTGGCCTTCAGAGCAGACACGACACTGCTGACCTGCATGGGGGAGACAAGTGCCCGTCCCTGCACAGTGGCACCTAACAGACCAAAGCAGGTACAGAAACAGCATCCCTGGAAGTGCCTCCAGGACATCAAGCAAAGAGGTGAATCTTCCTGCCACCATCCCACTGCCGGGCTCTGGGAGCTTTCCTTGGCTCGTGTCTCATCAGCAGCCGGGACACTGTGCAGGGACAGCTCTGCCGTTCAACGTCCTTCCTCCAGTCCACCGCCTCATGCTGGTTTCTCAGAAGTCATAAATTTGGGCAAGGTACCAGCCATGGGAAGTTGGCACTGGTGAGCAAGGGGTGCGGCTGGAGCATTGGGCGTCATAACTAACCGGGGCTTCTGTGGGGAGTGATTAAAACCATTCAAGGGTGAGGATGCCATGTGAACCCCAAACCAGTATGAAGACCACTTTATTCTGTCTGCTCCTCCGGTGTGCAGACTATCTGTGCATGCGAAGCTGCTTGGGCAAGGTGGAGGCGTCACATCTGGAGAGGAACAATTCATCTTAGAGGGTGTACAAGGCACCCGGCGTATGTCCAGTATGAACCCCGTAACTGTAGGGGAGCTTTGGGGTGCGGAGTCTTGCAAAGCCACCTGTGTACGGGCAACCGTATCAGTAATGCCCTAGAAGGCCAAGATTGCCTCAATCACTACATCAGATATAACTAATTTGAGTACGGATGTAGCAGAATTGGGACCAATGAAGAAAAAAAGAAATAATTAGGGGCAGATTGAGCTGAGGAAAAGATGTGCTAAGGTAGAAACAGAAAAAATAAAGAGAAATAAGTTATGAAATTAGGTAAGCAACACAGGAGGATGGGATCTTTCGGTGGTTGGAGGACAGATGCCTACAGATGGTGATGATGTTGACCTGGGTACCCAATGGCATGGGATGCCCTTGGCCAACTCTCTGGACTCTCCATCAGAGCTATGTCCAAAAGACTTGGTCCAAGAGGGTGAAAAGGGAGAACTTTGTACCCTGGTATGAAGAGCTATGAGGTGGGGAGGGTGGTAGAACTAACACAGCAGCAGTGGCGTGTGATTCCTCAGATTTAAGAGTGATACCTTTATCGCTGCATTTAACAATGTGCAAAAACAAATCGTAGATTAATAATGATTAATGCGACCATTAGTTAATTAGGTTGCTGCTTATTCAAGTGATTTATTAGTCTCTTAGTAGGGTATTGCTTAACCAGTGGACATTGTGGCCAAAGAGGGAAGGTCAGACCCTGAAGGAAGGGTGTTGCATCTGAGACACGTGTGCCAGGAGGCAAGAAAGCGTCCTCCCACTGCTGGTTGTGCCCAGATGTTCACAGCAAGTGGTGTCCAACAGCAGCATAGACCAGCCCATTGCAACGCCCAAACAGCACCAGCTATGTCTTGGGAACACCCCCAAGGAAGACTACCAAGGCAAACCTAGCAGAGGGGAAGACAAATAATCTTAGTGATATCTCCACTTGATTTGCCCATGAAAAAGTGAGGTTCCAGGCAAAATATTGTCCAGAACAATGTAAAAACTACAGAAGCCACCAGGGAGCCAGCAGAGCATCAAGCAGGAGACAAGTAGTTGGGAGGAACAGTGCTTTGTCTCCAATACATCTCCCTTCACTGAACTCATCTGCGCACATGGAACAGGAAAAGCGCAATCTAATTAAATATTCATCACCAAACACAACCAGGACTGAGGCCAAGTCCCAGCCTCTGTCTCTTGATCCTGCAAAGAGGCAAAGTCAGGAAAAAAGGAGGTTCTCCCGCTGCACCTATGAATGGAAAATTAAAAGACACCACCAGCAAATCTTCTTTATCTGGAGTAAGGCAGTAAAAAAAGACTGAAAATCACTCCTGATCATTCCCGCAGACCACTTTTAGGGTGGACAGAAAAATTCCTCAGAAGTTCTTTGCTGGAGAAAGGCCAGAGGGGTGAAAATGGAATGGAAAATGGAAAACCTTCCATGTTTTTTATTTTTAGATCTTTCCATCTGGAGTATTATTATCGCAGCTAACTAACGTCCACATGTGTAACACAATCCCTGCCAGAGAGGGCGAGGGCCACGGCAGACCTTCCTCCTCATTTGTCCATGACACCATCCCTGGACGATGCACGCTGGCTCTCCTGGCATTCCTCAAAGCCATCTCAGCACCTTGGAGCCACCCTAGCACATCCCTGGGGTGGTGGACCTTCAGTACCAAATATATACAAGGTGAATGGAGAAACTCTGCCGAGACCAGAGGTGTTCGTCTTACAGCACAAGAATTGGTCTGTCACATCCCGCGTGGAAAACTTGTACAGGATTGCTGGTTCTTTGAACCGTTGGGTTGGTAGCCAGAGCACTCAACATCTCCATTCAACGTAAGGTCCAGCCTCAGTGTGTGGCTGTCTCCCATCACCCAGTCAACTGGATTTAGTTGCAAGCCTTGGGGATGTCCAAGCCTGCCAAGGACTGCTGCTACCTGGTGAAATGGCAAGCCACATGCTCGTCTTTGCAAAGCCCTTCTCAGCCATCACCTCCATGTTTCAAGGAGAGCTTTCACCACCCAAACACTTGTTGAAGGTCTTGACACCTCTGCTTTTGGTTCTATTATCTCAAAAGCAAACAGGCAGCAACAGGCATGGTGGCTCGGTCCCTCTGGGAGCTCCAGCGTCAGTTTTTGCTCACAGCAAACTATTTCCAGTCCTCTGTACCCAACATTCAACATGCGGTGAAATGAAGAACATCCCAGGCTCCTTCATGGGGACAGGTGGGGCCGGAAAGTGCGTGGTCGAATCATCATGACCACCTTCCTCAAGGAGTAGTAGTCTGTGTCCTTCCACGAGTACCACACAATACCATCCGGCCCCAGCATCTTGCGGTTTTTAATGGAGTATCGGCCACCCTGCAGAGAAAGAAAGATGGTCAGGCATGGGAAACGCATGGAAATGTCATCCGGATGGGAGCATTGGAAAACTGATTGCTCTGAAACATTGGAGCAAAGAGCTTAATGATGATGCGGTGAAAAGGGTACATAAATCATGGAATCATAGAATCAAAGAATCATAGAATCCCAGGTTGGAAGGGACCTCAAGGACCATCTGGTCCAACCTTTCGAGGAAAGAGCTCAGTCTAGACAAGATGGCCCAGCACCCTGTCCAGCTGAGCCTTGACAGTGTCCAATGTGGTGGAGTCAACCCCTCCCCTGGGGAGATTATTCCAATGGATGACTGTTCTCATGGGGAAAAATTTCCCTCTCCTGTCCAGTCGGAATCTCCCCCAGAGCAACTTGTGTCCATGCCCCCTTCTCCT